AACATAAAATACCAGATTGCACTAGTATATCTAATAATTGTAAATAAAGTTATAACAAAAACGCAATTTGTTAAAATGGATCAATAATTTCATAGCCTGGTCAATCATGCTTAAGTATTAAATAAGATTAGTAAACTTGTTAAAATATAAGCACTTAATACTCTTCTCCATTATGCTCTTAAATTAATGAATTAGATGCTTAACCAATGTTATGTGCAAAAGCATAAGATGATTGTAGTTTTGATGGTGAAAAATGTGTTACTTCTATACCGAGTTCTTGTGTTTGTGATAAAAGCTTCAGTAAATCATTATGTGAAAAATGTGGTTGTGATTATATGTTTTTAGGATATTGCCAATAATAAAAAGGATGGGTTCCTTAATTAAATTAGGATTGTTCAAATAAATATTATTTATGTTATGAAGTCACATAGTTTGTGACCAATAATAAAGAAAAGGTCTGTGGTCTTGTTGATTAATCATGTAAATTTACATCGAAATGTGAGGATGCTACTCATTCTACATGCAGTGAATTGATAGGTTTTATAGTGTCTTAATAAGCATGCATAAGATGTACAGGTTTAGGAATGAAATACGATAAACTCACTTAAAAATGTAATCCTATAGCCTAAAATATTGATAAATGCGAAAATCTAAATAAATAAGCTTGTCTAATATTTACAAAAGATATTTCATGTTAATGGAAGAAATTTTAGTCTTCAAAATGTAATTAATAGAAATATGAATATGACTGTATAGAGATAGCTAATATACAAAAAACAGATTAATTAGATTGCTCTTCTTTGAATTATCATGCTTGTAATAAAGAACAATTAAATTTATGCTGGTTTAATTAAGAATCTAAATTATGTGTGAAATATAACCCTTTTAAAGGAGGCTGCGATTCACTTAAAAATGAATCAACTTGCAAGTTATCTATGGTTTAATCATGCTTTTGGGATGGTAATAAATGTTAAATTCAATTGCCTTAATCAAAATGTGAAAATTTAAACAAATTTGGATGCTTAAATCAATAGGATATACCATGTGTTTGGTCTGATAAAAATCGAACATGTTA